GTTGGACAGTGAGTCTGCCCTGCACTTACCTATACTCACTCACTCATGACAGAGGAGAGGAGAGGCCAAATCTGAGTGTGTGGCATTCTGACCTGGCGCATGAGGGTGCAGCACCTCTAAGGTATGGTCCAGCCACCCCTCCTGGAGTGACAGCTGGGCCAACCCTGAGGGGTGCTGCAGCCCTGTGTGCCAGGTCACAATGCCCGGAACAGTGAGCTAGGCCCAGACCTATGGGACAGAAGTCACCGCTGTGTAGTAGGCTCACTCTCCAACCCTCCATACCCTCCCCGGGGCCTCCTCTCAGCACTGGGGCAGGAGAAGTATGTTTGCCTAGACCAGAGCCCAGTGATGGGTTAATCCAGCACTGTACATGACGGCCCATCTAGACCCTTTCCGCAACTCACTTGTAGGTCGGGACCCACTGTTTGGGAAACACTGCTCTAGTTTACCCCCTCCCAAGTACCGCTCCCTGTTTCCCCTAAGCTAGGACACATCCCAACCAGGCACTCACTTGGAATGGAAGAATGGAAGACTCCTATTAACTTCAACTGGATTTGGATAAGGCCCTATAAGTTAGTTAGCAGTAAGCTGCCATCTATTATCACCTTCCAGGAAACTCACTGACAGCTTCATTTGCTATTTCCAACATGTATTTCAGATAGTCTTTTTTGTTCTATTTGCCCACTCCCAGACACTACATCTTGCCTTCTGCTCACAGCTACCGTAGCACATAGTGATGGGTGGTCCCATAACTATAATCACAGTAGTTGCCAGATAACCACAGACAAACAGGACCAAGAGTAGAACTTGCAGCCTGTAGCTGCAAACACACAGGGCACTACCCAGAGCATGAGAACTGCAATTCCAGAAACTCAGGACAAGTTTGTAACCAATTACACCTCTACCCCGATATAACGCAACCCAATACAACACGAATTCGGATAGAACGCGGCAAAGCAGTGCTCCGGGGGGGCAGGGCTGCACACTCTGGCGGATCAAAGCAAGTTCGATATAACGCAGTTTCACCTATAACGCGGTAAGATTTTTTGGCTCCTGAGGACAGCGTTATATCGGGGTAGAGGTGTAGTTGTATAAACAGAAAAAGTGCAGCCAGGAATGTGGATTTTTAAGTGACTTTAAAGAAGTAACTTGGGCAAATGGTATCATGATCCTAATATCAAACCTAACCTTGGAAAAAACAGACAGGGTGTCACAGTGGTAAAAAGACCTGAGCCCTGCCTACCTCTAGCACTTCCATTTTTTTTACCGTGAATGCAGCTGCACAGGGGTCTGATTTTGGCCAGTGTGGATGCACCTCTCAGGCATGTAATAACAGACTCCAGTCCCACTTAACAATTTGGTGTCAACGGATTTACAGACACCTCGGACTAGATCCTAGAGCTAGTGGGAAAATAGATCTTATTTTGGAGAGGAAATTTCAAATAAAATGAAAATGTATAATTTCCACATGCATTTTTTCACTGATTAGTTTCGAGTTGATGAAAATCAACAGCCCTCCCCAGAAAAAATCAGTTTTCTATTTTCAAACCCTCACAAAAAAATACAACAAAATTGGAAATTTTCTCATAGAAATTTCTGTTTAATGAAAAAGCCATGTTTTGTAAATAAACAAACACATAAATGGTTTTGACCCACTGTACTGTCAGTTTTTTTAACAGCTGAACAATTACTAAAAGCATATCCAGGACTGTCAAATAGTTATCAAGGACTTTTCCAGTAGTTACATTTTATATAGATTCAAATATTTTACGGGGTTTAAAATATCAAGTAATACATCAATATTCATTGTTTAATTCTTTGGATACAAATTTCAAAAAAGCCAAGTTATTTCTCTTATAAAAAACTGGTAACTTTGCTGCTCATGATGAAGGACAGAGAACATCAGTTGTAGCATGGGAAAATCGTTTATAGATCCCCAATACATCTTAGTCTAATCTGCCACACTCCCTCATGTTCTGGGTCTTGACCTTTTTGGAGCAGAAATTACTTGTTGTATTTAGTTGAATAGTGGTTTTGTGATATAGAGAAATGAAAGTGAAGATGAAAGCAGTAAAATTACTTTCATTAGTGACCTAAACTAGGAATTGAACTTAGGTCTCCTGAAGCCATGTGTTTTTCTGTTAGTAGTCAATATTGGTCTAGTATATTATGCATGGAATTGAAATCCAGCAACTCCTAAATTCTAATTCCACAGCACAAAAACACAAAGCCCCTGCTGAAGTTCCAGTGGATCTCAGAGGATCCGTGCAGTCTAGAGGCCAGTCTGGCTACTTCTTCCATGGGTTCAAACCACAGTGGAAGAATTTGAAGGAAACTCCACAATGGGAACTTTGCAGAGCTTTCCTCTGGGAGAAAAGGGGCAAGCCTTCTATCAGCGCCCTTTATAAATTCTTAGATTTTAAGCTCTCCCAGCCATTTCTAACTATCTGTTTATAATTTTGTTTTTAAACTCCAGGGGAACATATGGTGCTATCACAGTGATCTTATAGATGATTTTAACTGTACTGTACATTAGGTACATTCCACTCTTCACACTCAGTGAATAAGGCTCTGGTGAGTTCTGTATTTCTGTTTCCAGAGTCTGGTGGGTCATCACTTCTTCTGCACAAAGTTCTACAGTAGCAAAGTAAATTGCTGATTAAATAAATGTTTATTTCCACTAGTTGTGTGTCACTGTCAAATTTCTTTTGACAGCCTGGATGTCCTCTGCAATTTTGAGTGACTGATCCTTTTTACATTTTTAATATTTCTGTTCTATAAATAGTACATCAAAGAGCCGAGTTCCAGGCAGAGCATTAATCTTCACTAGTTAGAGAATGACTTGTCACAAAACACTCCTGTCCATGCAAATCATGCACTGTGACATCATCCCTTAACTCACAAAGATAAATGACATGCAGGGCCCAATTTCCAAATGTGCGAACACTACTGAAATGTTGAAATTTTGTGTTTGGATGTTTAAATTGGCACTTGGATGAAAAGGGGAACATACATGTCCATTTGTTCCAATTTAAGATTCCATATAAAGCATATGAATCTCCTATTTGTGCCCATGTTTGAAATTTAGCTCAGAGTATTAAAAACCAAACTACAGCTGTGAACTTTAATTGCAGATGGGTCTGAGCCACAACATTTAGATTAGGATCCAGATCTCAACATTCCCAAAGTAGAGAGGCATTCAGAGCTAGGTTTTTAGCTCCGGAGGGTATACATGTTATATATGAGGGAACCGGAATTTCCATTTTGAGGAAAATTCCATGATTTTGACATTTGTTTTCATTCTGAATCAGAATGAAAACAAAAAATCTAGGAATTTCCCATGAAATGAAATTTTAGGAAAAAATTCATTTTGGGTCAATTGAAATGTTTCCTTCTGATTTTGACTTTTAATTAATTATATTGCATTACCTTATATGATACATTTTGAAATGAAAAGTAGTTCCATTTTGACTTTATCTAAACACTTTGTTTCAATTTTCTTTTTTTAAATTAAATTATGTCAAAATCAGTATATTCCCATGGAAAAATTTTATTTCGATGAAATGTTCCATCAGAATGTTTTTGGCCAGCACTACATAGTTATATGACATATACAGTACCTATTTTTGGACAGTTATCAATGTTGAGAGGAAAAGGCTCGGATGGTATATTCTAGTTTCCCAGACCAAGATTTTCAAAAATAGCATCCTAAAGTTAGGCCTCTGAGTCCATATTTAGGCTCCTAAATAAGTGACATGATTTTCAAAAGTACTGATCACCGATCAGTTCCTGTTGACTTCTCAGTAAGGTCAGTAAGAGCTGCTGGGTGATCAGCCCTTTTGAAAAGCATGTCACCTATTTAGGAGCCTAAATATGGATATAACAGTCTAAAGTCAGACACTTATCTTTGAAACATTGGCCCAAGTTCTCAGAGATGTGGATAACAAGAGCAGGTGAATATGATAAACAATGATTCTTAAAAGTTAGCTGTGATTAGTGGGGAGTGTTGCCCTAAAACTCAGATAGATAGTTCTCTATTTAATGGATAGTCTTCTCAAATTATCAACACACCCACAGCTCCAGTCATGAACAAGATGCAGATAGCAAAGGGGTAAGTCATAAACTGCTTCTGAACAGAGACCCTGTGTGGCTCACCCAGCATCTCAGTAATGTATAACCAACCTAGATGGATTCATTTTTTCTCTTCTCAATCATGATAGGTGTATTAATAATACACTCATGAGTATACAATTAAAGCTGGTCAGAACATTTTCGACAAAATGAGTTTTCATTTTCAGAAAATGGTGTTTTGTAGAAACTAGCGTTTCACAGAAATGTATTGATGTTGATAGAAAGGTTTCTGAGATCCAGAGTGGACTGTCTTGTCAATTCCCAGAGAGAGAAAGACTTAAATCAAAAGCCTGACATGTTTGATCCAAAATGGGCATTTCAACACAGCTCTGTTTCACAGACATTGTCAAATGGTTTTCTTTTTGTTCCACTGGAATGGAAACACATTTCAAAACCCCAGAAGTTTTTATTAAATAGATTTGTCGTTGCCCAACCAGCTCTATATGGAATGTTTCAAAGTTGCTGTCTTCTCTAGGATCATCTCTTTGGACAAAAATTACCAGTAGGCCAAGGAGCTGGCTCTTTGGGAGAACAGGACCTGTTTCTATTTTTCATCTGCTACTTAGAGTTTTCTGTTGGGTTTGTGAGCATTACAGTCTTCACGTGGGCACATAGTCACCTCTTAATTCATCATTGTGGCTTTTTGCCAAAGGATCACTCTTGAAGGTTATTATGAAGTTTTATTTGCCTGCTTTCAATCAAGAGACATGTGGTATAAAGTTTAAGGTTGTGGACTAATTACCTACCTTCAATACAGCACCAGGCATCTCTTTCTCATTGATTAGCTTCCTCCCACCCTACTTTTCAGACATGCTAAGGTTTGGGTTTCATCCCTGTTACTGATGCTTTTTTCCCTGTTTACTTTACAGAAATTAAAGTTCAACTTGCCGAGACATCGAGAAGTTCGAGATACCCACCAGAGGTGTAACTGCCCAGCAGGTAGGGATCTCAGAGGCCTTGGTACCTTAGAATGACTAATGAGCTCTTATTTATCCCATCTCACCTTGAAAGCTTTCCTAATGTACTGCAGTATTGGGTTATAATGATACATATAATATAATAAACCTGCATATGGAATGCATAAGTACATACATACAGGTTTGGTTACTTATTCATTATATAAATAATAAATCTCTGTATGACAGAAACTCATGAGAACACCAATATACACACACCCAATGTGTGCAATAAAATAGACAACCAAGTGTGTTCTTATGCTGTCTGTCTGCATGCCTCTGAGACAGTGACCTTTAAAACCCACGGAATTATACAGGTAGCTGAGGCATCTTGTAAAATTACAACCCTTGACGTATAGAAATAAGTCTATATTTTATGGCTTTGTTCAGTCATGCTTGTTTCCAATTCCAAAGGATCGTGTAAATACTTCCTCTGATGTAGTTTTAATACAATAGGTGAAAAAAATTATGGAAAACCCATTCATGAGCTGAATTTTATTCCATCATCATGAGTCATGCAGTCTTCTTTGTCATCTTATAATAAAGTATATTAAGTACAGAGGAAATAGAGAGGTGGGGGTTGTTTTATTTTTAAAGAACAATAGCACTGGTCTGTGATGGGAATGAACCAAAACCCAGTGTCCAAACACTCCTGAACTTTGGAACTTTATTACAGACCAGGCCCTTTTCCACAATGGTACAACAGGTTCAATTTATGTTTAGTTTAAAAGACAATTCAAATTAAACATAAATTAGATGGACTGGTCATTATCTCTCTTTATCTACGCTGTATAGCAGAGATGGGTGAAGCAGTTCAAATCAAATAGGAATCCCTCAGCCTAAATCTCTTTCCAAAACTCAAATTAAAACTTAGTTGAACCATTGTTGAGTTTCAAAAAAGTTCCACTAATTTTTCCTGTCATTAGCCTACAACTTCATGCACTGCTCCACCCCCACCTTATTGCCATGACTTGACATATAAGAGCTGAAATACCACAAGAAAGAATTTTCTTATCATATTTCTGGAGCAGCCGAAAGCAGGGACCTTGGAATTTGAGTTCAGAGTAAAAAAAAAATAGATTAATACATTATTAGGCCAGAATGGATCATTATGATCAACTACTCTGACCTCCTGTATAACACATGTCATAGAATGTCACCCAAGAATTCCTGCCTCAAGCCCATGAGGTCAGCTGAAGGTAGCTAAGACCCTTGTGAAGTGGTGACAGCAACAATGGCAGGCTTGTCATAGGATTTGAGTGGCTACTCATTCCATGCAGTTCTCAGTGTCTTCTGAAAAGATAGCCTTGATTCCAAGGAGAGATGAATATTTCTTAGACCTTAGACCTTAATTGAAGGTGGGGATGATGATTTCTCATTGCGCGTTGCACCGCTCTGTCCAAAGGCACAGATGCTCTTTGCAAAATTCCCTTCAGTCAGCCTCCTGATTCCATGGGTGAAATTTAGCCATGTTTCAAAACAGGTGGCACAGCTGGCGGAGCCTTGGTTGACGCCAACCTGTGCATATGTGCTGCTTCAGTGTGGTCCATAATCCAGGTGGAGACCTTGGAAATCATTTCACCCTTGACATTTTTTTCTGATGCCTGAGATGTCTGAGGGCTAGACACAATCTGGAGTCCTAGACAGTGTGACCCTTGTGGGGAGTCTGAGGCTATCACAAGCATGGAAGAGAATCAATATGTTGCAAGCACTCGGTATAAGCCCCTTCCTCCCCAGCCAGCCCATTCCAAGGCCTGTAAACAAGCACACATAATCTCCCTTGCTGAAAATAAATGTTTATCAGAAGTGACATTTGAGTATAACCACAATTCCGAGTCCAACTTGTTGCATGGTACAGAAGGGAAAAGGAAATCAAATCCATTTGCTGAACTTCTCAGTACAGGATATAAAGGTCCTGGACAGTCAGAGAAGGGTCACACATACAGTAGGAGGGGTCCACAGCTCTAGGGCACGAGAGGTTTGTTTGTGAACTTAAACAATTTGAAGGCGGAGAGTAGGGAAGCAGAGAGGATGTATAAGTGTGTAACTATGTCTCAGTTATCTGGGTATTCATGATAAGAATAACAAGAATAGCACGGTCAGGAAAACAACAAGGTTTTTTTGGTTTTATATATAGAAAACAATAAGGAAATATATGTTTCCTAAAACTGGGAAGTTGATACTTCAAATCATTCATGCTTTGTTTGGGTGTGACCACCTATGAATGGAGTGTCATTGCTGGGTCACAGCATTTTTAAAAAAACAAGGAGTCCGGTGGCACCTTAAAGACTAACAGATTTATTTGGGCATAAGCTTTCATGGGTAAAAAACCCACGTCTTCAGATGTGTTTTTAAAGATTGTAGGACATAATAGCAAGTCTCTTAGTGCTCAAGGCATGTGCATTCAGGTTAACAGCACGAGCTTTGGTTATTTCGAACTAGATTCCTTGGATGAGATTAATATCCCATGAGCCCTTTCATGTTCCTGTAATCTGCCAGGCTGCTCTGGTACCAGACTGCCTGAAACAGGTTTACTGTATATCCTGAGATAGACCCAAGTATCCACAAAACATATGGTAGCTGTTGGGCTCTTCCCACTACAAACCTTAACCATTAGGGATGAACAGACCTTGGGAACTATTTCTGGGTTTGCAAAACTACCTCAGGTATTTGAATTATTTTTTCCTGTAATTTAAACCAATGATTTTTCAAAGGCGATATGATGTTTAAAAATGGATGGGCGGGCAAACATTGAATGCTTCAGGTGGACTTTGAAGAAAACCCCACATATTACCACAACTGGTGTGTATATGAAACTAGAATGAAAACAATATCTGTGCAAGTATCAGACTAGTTCGGCTGGCAGCTGAGCATGTATAGCCTACGAATTGTGGTAATGATGATGACACAGATTAATTGAATGACGGTAGAGTTTACGATGTGCCTGACACTTTCTAAGCATATATTAAGACTAAGTTCCTGCCACAAAGAGCTCAGAGTATAGGCTCTTTAAGGAACCACAACTCAGTACCGAAAGGAAAAATGAAGAATTTACTTACCAGCCCAGAAGAGCAAAGATTGCAGTCCTAAACACTGGTGATGCGACACTCAAGAATAGACAAACAAACTATCCATGCCCTGTCATACTGACACATACCAGGCCATCAAAATAACAAGGACTATCATACACTCAAGAGAGCCACACAAGGTCACCTGCCATATCTCTCTCCTTAAGATGCTACAGAGATCTCTTATCCTAACCTCCTTCTGAAAAAGTGAGGAATACCCTTACATTCAGGACTACATCTACCCTAACCCTAACTTAGCTGAGATGAGCTGTTCTCTTCCTGACTATACCATTCCAGAATATTCAACAAACTAAAGTCCAAGGATTTGTTTAGTGACCGCATCCTATCAGCAGATGCCCGTGTTCATTTCTCGGGAGTGGAAGTGACGCCATGTCTTGAGAAAGCCCCCTTCAGATTTCTGAGCAGGATTTTGGATCATCTAAAGAACAGACCATAGTCAAAGATCCATCCCAGGTTTTGATCTGAGGCCATTGCTTGCTGGGCAAGACTTTGGAGCTTTGTTAGGACAGTGCACATGCAGAGCAGAGATGTTAAATAAAGTTCATGGTTATTAGAAGAGAGCCACAACCAGAACCTCAAATCCAAACTCATTTGAATTTGGATTGCCCATGGATTTGATCCCTAAGTATGAACCTGACTACAGTGTGGTCAGATACAAAACTGGCCGGGGCTTATTTTCCAGCAGTGATTTGGATGTGGTTGAAATCGCTTGCGGACTGCTTGAGATGACTGAAGTCTCTCAAGGACAGCTGATTTCCCCAGGTTCCTGCCATTTGGTACCACACTGTCATGAGAACAACTTGTTAGATTGCAATATCACTGAATGCAAATGTAAACCCTCCTAATCTAACCTCAGCATGATCCAGATTTGAAACTTGTCTCCTTAGACCATCCCTTATAGCTATCTACTGTACCTCAATCCTGCATCTCAGTGCTTGGATTCAAGGAGCTCTGAGTGATGGGAACACAGCCAAGAACCCCCCCTCTCCCCCAAAAGAGTAGGTTGGCACAAGTGGCTGGCCTGTATATCTCACATATGTCATTTATTTTTATCATTTTTATTATAATTTTTTTATTTTCTTCTCTTCTGCTCCTATTTTCACTATTCCTTTGTATTTGTTTTATGCTCTGCTGGCTCTCTGCTTCAGTTTTCAACATAATTTTTATTGGATATTTTCTTTGCTCATTTTCTTACAAGATTTGTCTTCAAGCAGAATCCCAGTTCAAAATATTTTAGTTTTATCAAACTTTTGAGAACATGAGTGGGTTCAAAATAAGGCAAAGTTGAGTTTTCCATCACTCTAAGTAGCAGATTATTATTATTTGTATTGCTCTAAACCGGGACTAGGATCTCATTGTGCTAGGCACTGTACATGCATATAGTGAAAAGCTGGTCCCTGCCTGTCAGTCTATCAGTAGCTAAAAGTTCAGGCTGCCTCATGGATGTAACATGTAAAGTCAGGTGTATAAAAAAGCTGAAAAAGTCTGAAAATGTAAAAATTTGATGGCAACAGACTGTGAATCCCAGTGATGACTGAACCTGGTAATATTCTGAACAAAAAGAGCTCTCAGCCATGCTTGTAGATGTTTCCATTGCTCTACACTGACTCAACAAGACATTTTAGGTTTCAGTGTGATGTTTGGGGTTATTGTGTATGCTGGTTGTGTTGTTGTGTGGGTGGTTTTGAAGAACTGTGGCAGTTGGGACAAGTAATCATGATCTGTGCAGTCTCCCTCATGTAAATTAGCTGGAGAGTAAAGGTGATGATTAGTTGAGTTTCCTCTGATATCAAAGGACTCTTGGCATGGCATAGATACATGCCTTCCTTTGGCACAGGTGCAATTTGTAAAGTCAAAATGGCTGAGAACTTAAAAATTGGGCAATAAGAGACCA